GCGTGAGTGTGTGAGTGAGTGTGCGTGAGTGTGCATGAGTGTGAGTGAGTGTGCGTGTGTGAGTGAGTGAGTGAGTGAGTGTTTATCTGTTTTGTGTGTGAGTGAGTGAGTGTGCGTGAGTGTGAGTGAGTGTGCGTGAGTGTGTGTGTGTGAGTGAGTGTTTATCTGTTTTGTGTGTGAGTGAGTGAGTGTGCGTGAGTGTGAGTGAGTGAGTGTGCGTGAGTGAGTGAGTGTGTGAGTGTGCGTGTGTGCGTGCGTGTGCGTGCGTGCGTGCGTGAGTGAGTGTGTGAGTGAGTGTGCGTGAGTGTTTATATGTGTGAGTGAGTGAGTGCTTATGTGTGTGTGCGTGAGTGTTTGTATGTGTGTGTGTGTGTGTGAGTGAGTGATTATGTGTGTGTGAGTGAGTGAGTGAGTGAGTGATTATATGTGTGTGTGTGAGTGAGTGTTTATATGTGTGTGTGTGTGAGTGAGTGTTTATGTGTGTGAGTGAGTGAGTGTTTATGTGTGTGAGTGAGTGAGTGAGTGTTTATATGTGTGTGAGTGAGTGAGTGTGCGTGAGTGAGTGTTTATGTGTGTGAGTGAGTGAGTGTGCGTGAGTGTTTATATGTGTGTGAGTGAGTGTGTGTTTATATGTGTGCGAGTGAGTGTGCATGAGTGTGCGTGAGTGAGTGACTGTTTATCTGTGTGTGAGTGAGTGAGTGTTTATATGTGTGTGAGTGAGTGTGCGTGAGTGAGTGTTTATATGTGTGAGTGAGTGAGTGTGCGTGAGTGTTTATATGTGTGAGTGAGTGTGTGTTTATATGTGAGTGAGTGAGTGTTTATGTGTGTGAGTGAGTGAGTGAGTGTGAGTGAGTGAGTGTGCGTGAGTGAGTGAGTGTGCGTGAGTGAGTGAGTGAGTGTGCGTGTGTGAGTGAGTGTTTATCTGTGTGTGTGTGTGTGAGTGAGTGTGTGAGTGAGTGAGTGAGTGAGTGAGTGAGTGAGTGAGTGACATGCTGACTTGGAGGCAGTGAGAGATGTAAAGCTGAGCCGGAGTGAAACAAGAATAAGGAAGCAGAAAGAGCCCACAGCTGCTCTTACATCCACCTCCAGCTGACTGCATGTGAGGGGCTGAAGGGAAGCGTGTTAATACGCAGGAGTGTTTTGTCAAATGAAGCAACGGGGTAGCGCTGGATGAGTCAAGTGTATTTGTGTGACCCTAAACATTACAAAGGGAACATCTCAAGGGAGCCTTAAAACGTCCATCAGATGTGATGATGAGTAGAGTTGGCTCTGTGACTTACTGACATAAAACCAACACAACATAAAGGATCATAAGAGAGCGTGATCATTGAACAATAACAATAATCACGCTCTCATCGTTAGAATCACTCTACCGGTGATTTTAACCGCAGTCTTTAATCTCAGCACCAGACTCTGTTTGTGAAGTTTTTCATACGCTCATAGAAATTGAAGGTGTTTTCATTCATTCATTCATTTTCATTACTGAAGAGCCCTAAATTCATCGTGTTCTGTAGTGGAGCACAGAGAAAGAGAGTGACTGAACATAGCACAACATTCATAAGACGCGTTGCATAATTGAATATTGTTGTGTGATTGAGAAGTGAGGAGCATCGTTGTTGGATGAGAAGGTGTCAGCTTGTACATACCTGTGGTGTCCATGTGATGTCCAGAGGGACCGGCAGGTCAGCGGAGCATTCAGGAGCCTCTGCAGGGTGCTGTGGGGAACAACACGACACCGTTATGCAGCTTCAATTCAAAGTTCTGGCTGCTTCCGTTTACCTCCATGGAAAATCAAGGGCCATTATGACACATGGAACTCCACCGCTCCATATTGTTTTACGCCTTCGTTAGATAGCAGCGTACATTTATTTCTCTGTGCTTATTATCGGAGGATCATCTTTTATTTGAAGCCTCTCTGTTCACCTTTTCCCTGTGCTCTTCCTCTCTCACTCCTCTTCCTCTGTGTCCATGCCAGTGCTGCCTCCTCCCTCGCTGTGCGTGGTGAGGGATGACCTGGCACAGGATCTGGTGGAGGCAGGGAGGACTCTGAGCTATTTCTTCCCCTGGTGACAGAGGGGTGAGGACACAGAGTGGGGTCTCACCCCCCTCCCTTGTCCCTGGAGGGTGTCCTCTGGGTTTAGGTAAGCACCACCTCACCATGCCGAGGATCCGCAGCCCCAGTGTGAGATACAAATAATCCTGCCAGCTACCAGGGGAGGAACTGGGAAGGTCCAATTCTGCATTGTAGTTGGTCATGTGCTTCTGTGTATTGCAGGGAGACCCTCCTAATAATACACAATCTTGCAATGGCCGTCTGTTTTGGAGATAACATGCTGTCAGACAAATGGGCTTTAGGTCCAATGGGACATTTGTCAGACTACTGGGCTTTCAGAACAATGGTCAGTCCCCTCCTGCTTGGACCCTTAACTTTACATCGGGATGATGTCACTTGTTTTGGCTCATAAGCTCAGGTGTCTGGGGCCGTCTTCTTGAGTCCAGTAGCCCGTTTGTATCATACACCCATGCAGTCTGCGGGACAAATGCTTTTTGGGTTTGCAGCGACCTTCTTGTTGATGAACCGCAGTTGGCCACTGGAGCCTGCAGCTCTTGCATCTAAACTATATTGCATCTAAACTATTTAAATACCAACTTCCTGGTTTACCGTTAACCTTCCATGTTATGCAACGAGAGAAGATTTCTGTCCGATGCGATGGCTAATTTCCACTGTGACTTATCTCTCTGCTTTTATTGTCCGACACTCAGTGTTTTGGCCCTTTTTGCTTTAGTAAGGTTAATGAATGTCAGCTATGGTCAGTGAGGGTCAGTGAGGGTTCAGTAATACTGGGTGTGTGTCTCAATCAGGGGCATGATGTTGCAATCAGTGGACCATTAAATGGTTGACCAATGAATGATCACTGTTGTCCAGATGTCCTAGTGGTGACTCCTCCTATCCTACCATGTGCTCAAGGCCTTTATAAGTCGTACACAACCAACACTCGGGGTTCTTCCTCCTTCAGACCGCATTGCATTCTGGATGATGATTGAACCTTCTCTGCACAGAGAATAAATACTTTAAAGACAAACTTCTTTCCTCAATGTTTCTTCATCTCAGTATCATAGGACTCACTCGGTACTGTTGAATAGTTTCTCCCACCACACTGACTGCTTGTGTCTCTTGCAGCAACGACCCTGTTTCATCAGTTCAATACTGTCATAACTGATGAAAATGAGTCCTTACCAGCACCACAAGGAGCACTTTTATGCATCACTAATTGAATTCATGCTGAATCATCAGTCTATTTCTCTACGCTTGGGGGCGATTTCACAAAGATTGCTGCTGATAGCGCCATGAACTACGCATCACTTGCAACCGCGATCCCTTTCCGACTCAAGTAAGATATTTCGTTGATGATATCATGGCAAACACAGTCGTAAAGTTTTGCAGCCGAGTCCAATTTGGCAAGAAGATGTTTCTTGGCAGAGCAGTGAAGAGTGCATTTAACCCTTTGTTACACGTTCCTTTTGGTTTTATTAGTGACTGCTACAGTCTAGTCTACATGCGTCTACCAAAACCATTACGTTTTCCCAGAAACAAATTATAATAAACACACCTGCCACCTCTTATCCGACAATTTGGAGATGTGTGACATGCAAACGCTGTGTGTTACGCTGCTGTCCCCCGGCCTTGTGTACTTCTCTCCACAGCAGCTGGGTGTCCTGGTTCTCTCTGTGCATAGAGGAAGGTCTCTCCATCACGTTTATCTGTGCTACATCTCAGCCACAGCGGGTTCTCATGTCTCTCCGCACCCTCTCCAGTTTGACCCAGATTTAGGGGGCACAGATGTAAATGACTGATGTGCTATCAGCAAATTGAACATCCCAAAATGTGTTGGTGGAGTCGGCCTGTTTGGATTCGGATCGGCTGTAGGGTCAACATCGAGCTGTGGAGTGTTCCATTTGATGGTGAATCACTTTCCATGTGAAAATGATCTGGTCCTGACAGTAAACTGTGTGTGTGTTTCTGTGCGTGCAGGAGAGAGTGTGAGTGTGAGTGTGTGTGTGTGTGTCTTACCCTAGACTTGAGTTTAACAGCGAGAACGTGCTGCCTTCCAGAGGAGTCCTCCGCCTTCAGTCTTAACGTTCGGAACTCGGTGTCGATGAAGAGCAGCCTGCGGATACGTGCACAATAAAGCAACACGCATTGGCAGAGAACGGTACGCAACACTGTAAACTGACAGCGGCCATCATCCGCCATTAATCAAAGCAGCAGAGAGCAGTATTGAGACCTCAACTCTGCCTTTAGATTTATCACTGTGGGTACTGACGCAGTGACATTACATCAAGCTACAGCTCCGCAGTCATGCCCCAAATACAGGCATTACTACGGGCTGTTCTTCTTCTGCATCTTAATGCTCTAATGCAGGAACATAACTAAACCAATCACGCCGAGGGCATTATTTCCATCTGAGTCACCACAGAACACCCTGGATTTAATGCTTTCTAATAAAACTGTGAGCAAACATACTGACTGTGTGTACACTCTGTTCATTGCACAGTCCTAGTAAAACTAGTACGAACACCAAACCATCAAGCCAGGAATGTTTGACTGTCTGAGTCCTTCACACAGCTCCAGCTCATCCGGTCCACTTCCTACTCTCCGTATTGATGGGAACCCACCGATGTGCAGCGTCGATGGCGTTGGTGCAGTTGGGACTCGGTCAACATTAATAAACTTTGAATAATAAAGCGATAGGGGGCGGGGCCTCGTGGCTCTGCGGACTCAGGCCAGCATATCGTCCATCGGACCTTTACAGAATGCGGCTCACTGACTGCTGCTGGATCCTGGACACACTAACTCCACAACCAAACCTCACTTGAGCAACGCTGCAAGCAACTGGGCACGAGCTCCAAAGGGCCATGCCACAAACGCTCACTGCAACTGTGAACCACAGTCCTCTCTCCCACAGTTCACAACTACTGAGCAGGTTAGCGGTTAACCTCCATTCAATTAGCTTCTTACCCGAAAATAATGTCATTGTCGTGTCTCTCGACTCACTAAAATGCTGTTGGAGAAACTTTCCCACGGTGACAAAAGTACAGTTCTACAACTGTGTGGGCATGAAAGCACACAAGAGAAAGAACAACAAGCTTAAGAGCAGATTTAGCTATTTGTAAAAACAACAAGTTGCCGCAGCGGTCAGCCAGCAGGGCACAGAGAGCCAGCGTACTAGCACAGAATATTTCCTTTATTGACATTTATTTAACAGCCTGTGCAAAGTAGCCATCTCGATGCTCCAATGCGTCCAGGTACATCGCACACAGCTGCACATCTCTCTTATTATCTTTCTTCAGCGGTCTACATTTACCATCAGAAACGATTGGACAGTCACATAAAAGGTGACAAAATTTCCCTGTCGGGTGAGTTCACCTTTCAAGCTCGAGTCGACCTGTAAATCAGAGAGCTAATTCTAACCTATTGAGGGACAAAGCACTCATCTGGCCCGAGCTCGCACCAACACGAGACCTGGAGACAGAAAGACTCATCAGAGACTAAGGTTGTGGACAAGTTCCCTCTCCAGCTTCACCGTACATTACGATGGACGCTCTGTGCCGAGGCTGACGCGGCCGTATATCTGCCGAGGATTTATGGAGTGCGTTAGCCAGGAGTGATGTGAGCAGGGATGACACACACACACTTAGGGGAAGTGACGGAATGATGGGAGACTGTCTGCATTGTGCCCGATTCATTTAAGTGTCTGCCTCACTTGCAATCAAACGCCAGCGCAGGGCAACGGCATTGAGGTGCCACGTGCACGCCAACGTCTGCGGAAGACATCGAGATCGGCCCGACCCCTTTCCTTCCATGCTGACCTGATGCATCTTTTCTCTCAAGATAATCGCCTCCCGTCTCTCCATCTAGAAAACCATCTGCATATTAAGACCTCCAAAAGGCATCGTCCGATCTCCTCTTTGTAACACACACACACACACACACACACACACAGTAGTGTCACCCATCAGGCTGAAATGATTTAGTTGCAGATGAGAACTTCTTGACTAGACAACAGGATGGTGATCCTCAGGTACACACAGAGTGCAGCCCATAAAAAGCCCATTACCACTAACAGCAATAAATACACAAGCCTGTCAAGCATGACCGTTTAATAAAGTGGAGGAAGTGACAAGCATCCAAATGAACACATCAATGAATTGTTGAGATGAAGTGCTGGTGGATTGCAGAACACGTGAGTAACAGAATGCAGCTTCTCTGTTTCTCTTTATTATATTTCAGAGTGTTCATTTGTATCGTTGACGTCTGGACGGTCTGATGGGTTTTTAGCAGCTTAAAAACATTAGAACATCTTTTTAAAGATGAAATGAATGTTGTACCCCCCCCCCTCCTGCTACGACCTGCAGGGTGCCAGCAGTACATGTATATTGTATATTATGTATATTCTGCATCTATTGAGCTGGCTTTGGAGCAATTCATCCAATTAAAATAAAGTACAAATCTACTTGTTGGATTCAAATCCTTATGTATATATTATTTAATTGAATATAGTTTGAGCATTCTAACTACGATTAAAATGGTTTAAAAGGTCCGTAAAGGTTGTTTTATTTCTAAATTTGTGAATCACAACCACGAGCGCTGATGCGTACATGATGCATTCACTGGGAGTACTGGGCAAAGCTTTCATGATGTGTTCAAATGTCATCTTGTAGAGTTTTGCTTTTGGTGAGAAACTTGAATGAATATGAACTAGATGATGGATTATGACCTGTTTACCTTCCTAGCACTAGCTCTAAGCAGCTTAAACTACTAATGACTAGATGTTTGTGTAGATTGTGTGTTTTTATGAAAATAATAATGAGGATAACTTTGTGGCAGTTTAGACTAGAGATGCAGCGATCTGATACCTTTCTTTGATTAAGTATATCATGTATTCCTCCCTCCGTGGAAGAGACTGAGGGTTATGAAAATAATAGTATCCGATAGCAGATTGGACTATTGTCACCAAACCCAGATCCAGCTCTGTGAGTCAGTGTGGGACCTGACAGCAGAGGTACATCTCTAGGTTACTCTGACTTCGGGGTCAGTTGAAGTTATTTTTTTAGGGCAGTGGTGAAAAAAGTCAATCTGGGAGGAGCCCTCAACGGCTTATCGAGCATCTGCAATGGTATCGGTGCGTCACTAACAAACACACACTGAGGTCTCGCACCCGGGACAGCGAGGACGAGCCGGCGCCGCTACCTGGCCGTGATGGAAACAGCGTGACAGTCGAGACGTCCTGCTGGGAAGACTGATGAGAGCATCCCATCGGCAACTCCACAGCCAAGTGAGCTTCTTCCAGACAGTGCACGCCACGCACATTAGTCCTTGTGTGTGTGTGTGTGTGTGTGTGCGTGCGTCTCTGAATGCTTTTTTTGGTCAACAATGTGATTAATGAACGGTGAGATCGACACGTATGTGCCGCGGTGCTTATGTGTAAGAAATTCACATGCAAAATGAAGGCATGCACAAGATGACGCATGAAATGTATGTGATCATCAAGTGCACGAGACTCATTTTACACAGCGCAGACACACCTACATGCTCATGAATTAGCTTGGTTTGCAGTCTAACTGTGCTAACAGACATTCTCATGACTTACTGTAAGCAGCTGCAGTGATTGCATTTACATCCCATGATTACAGGAGGCATTTATTAGCTGGCCTATTCATGTAAAAACAATAAAATACAAATATGGGAAAAGAATAATATATGTGTGATGCCTCAGCCCTGTGATGAGAGGAGACTGGTTCACCGAGAGGCTGTGAACCGGGAGAACAACTGTGCCCGTGATGAGCCCCTGGGTCACTTTTTGTGTGTGGGTGTGTGGGTGTGTGTGTGAGGGGGGGGTAGTGATGGTGGACGACCTACTTGACCTCGGTTTTCCCATTAATTAACACGTAGCGTGCCCTCTCCCGCCAATTAAGATGACCGCGCTCTAGCATGCAGGAATGGAGATGCACAGAGAGAAGGCCTGAACCAATCAGCAGACAGCATCACAGCTGAAGAAGCCCTGGTGGCTATTAGCACCGGTCCACACCAATTAAGACGCTAAGCGAATCTCCAGTGCTTTGGAGATTAAGGCCCACTGTGTATAATGCCTCCCAACCGTAACATGACACCCAAAGTGATGTTGGTCCCATTTCCAGCATAAGGCATACCTCCGCCCCCCCCCCCCCCCTCCCTCCTATTAAAACCTGAGAGTCTTCAATTAGAGCCATTTGCATTTTGCTAATATCATAATTGTAGCCGCGGTCATTAATAGGAAAGTGGAAAATGAGTGTAGTAGTCGAGACTTAATCCGAGCTGGGGGAGAAAAGATATCCCCCCCCCGACGAGTGGAGACGGCGTTGGCTGAGCCTGTCGCTGTGCGTGGGCTGAGAGTTATTAAATATGACCTGGATTTAACTATAACTCAATAACTAAAAATAAGGAAGTCATTAAGAGCCATTTGTTAATGCGGAGCTGTGTTGTTGCAGGCTCTCCAATCAGTTTAGACTGCTGGGGGGGAGGGACTGCTCCATATAGCCGTTTAAAGCACCAGAGGTTTGTAGCCATACACCTCGGTATGTTAATCTTACCTCTGGGGAAAACACATACATCGAAAAGAATATAAACCAATAACTTAGTTTCAATAATAATTCCTCTTTGTCTCTGGCTTGTGAGTTGCTCAGTTGCTTATCTTGGCCCACAAACTGTGAGGTAGGTCCGTATGTGGCTCCTATGAAGAAAGAGAAAGTTAGTCTCTTTCAGCCCTGAAACACAGTGCTGCAGGGATGATGTCATTCTGTAGGCCAACCCTGGAAGTCTCCTCCATGAAAGCCAATTTTTCCATTGGATTATGGATTATTGCAGAACAATACGATCTGCTGCAAACAAGCTTTTGTTCATCAAGATAATCTTCACAGGTGGCCTCTGGCTGTAAGCAGGGCCTGCTGTGGGCGTTGCCCTGTTTTCTTCTCTGTGCTGTCTTGCAGGTCCCTTGTAGGCGGAGCCTCTCACTACAATTGGGAGCACCTGCCCAGTCTCCCAGGGGTATTTAGGACCTGCCTGCCGCAGTCGGGAGCTCTCTGTTCCTGCAGCTCCATGTCTTTGTTTTGTTAAGAATAAATGCAAACTTTTCCGTCTAACCACCCGTGTGTCTTCCGTTTTGTCACGGCTCAAGAGCCGGGTCGTGACAGTGCCAGTATACACAACCAGGATGTAAAGGCGGACCTGTTGGCGTGACGACCTTTAGTAGTCTCATTTAGCCACTTTGTTAGCGAGCAGCTTTTCTACGACACGATAACGCTGTGCAGGTCTGTTTAGCACTAAATAATAATCGTCCTCACGCTCGGCCCAGAGTCTCCAGTGAGAGAGAACCTGTTTCTCCTCAATCCCTCTCTCATGTGCTCCTGCTCGCTTTTCACATTATAATGAGAGCAAAAAGAAGAAGTTAGGAAATGATTACGATTCCTTCATAAATGCATTTTGCCTCACCGGTGGAAAAAATAAATAAAGAACGATCATTTTAAAATCATCGTTCAGCAGGGGTATCAACAATGTCCATCGTCAATCAACACAACCCGATCAATTTGTTCTGTTATTGTAATGAATACTTTCACACAGAACGCAAAGATTAACCAGCAGAAAAAGGGACGTACTCCTTTTTCTCTGAGCATTACCACCGCTAACAAAAGCATAAAGCAATCACGTTGAGTTGCTCCTATATTTATAAAACAGCAACACGAAGGATCCGTCATCGAAAACCAAGATGGCCACCGTCAAGAATCCTTTCAACCTTGACAAAGACCAGATCCACTCCTTCCGTTCTTTCCTTTCACAATAAAAGCTCTAGCCAGGTGTGGAAAGACCTCAAACAACACAGCGAAGCTATCTCAGTGACTCCAGTGAAGTCACTCACCTGCCCCAGCCGAGGGTCTCCATCTCAGAGATGAGCTGGGAGTAGTACCGCGGAGGCGGGATGGAGCGGCACTCGGGACGGCTTTTCAGACCCACTTCCTGCAACGGCAGAGAGAAGGCTGTTTATTTTAAACTTGAGTTACTTTATTATAAATATTATGTTACCATGATTATAGTATTAAAATATGAACACCATCATATCACGACTTCCCCGCTCTGCGCCACCATCTGTCTACGAAAAGCAAATAAATGGAGCGACTCTGAATCAGGGCCAAGAAGCCTCACGCCTTTGTTCAGTGGCGAGCACAGAGGTTGTTACACTTTTCATTCATCTCACAAAATATACACGTGTGCCTCATTATCAAGGCTATTGATGGCGCCTGAAGGTTCCCATTTACTTCCTATTCATAAAGCAACAATGTCAAAGTGACCGTGCCAACCACGGTGTGCTTCTCCTCCTTACCAAGACCGTCTTCAGCTCCAGAATGAAAGTGACGAGATCAGCCGACTGCTGCAGCCTCTGTGAGGAGTCAAAGGAGAGAAGAGACATCTTCAATGGTGGGCAGAATGAAGTGACAGTGTCTATGTGTTTTCTTCCTCGAGCCAGCCATTCAAATCAAACACAGTGTCTGTGATTAATGGGGGCTGCCACCAGCTTTAATAATTAATGATAGCTTAAAGGCTGTGAAAATAATGAACTTTGCAGCCCGGGGTGAAATATCAATCTCATCCAAATAACCCTGAGGGGCAGCATAACAAATAGGGACATTTTCCAGACCATGTTAATTAAACAGTGGAAAATATTTTTTTTTTCTTCTACTTCCGAGTGAGGCTAGCCTGATGGAAACACAAAGGGGCCAGAATGACATGACAAGAAATATGAAACACGGAACAATCCATGTGACCTCAATGAGAGCAGGCAGACGCATCATCACTAACAGAACACAGATGCATGTCTCCGTTTACCTGCTTCACTGTGTGTTCATAGCCCTGCAACACCTGTCTCAACTGCCAACAGCAGTGCAGCCTGCAAGACCAAAGTCAGGAATTAGTAGATGTTCATGAACGTCATCATTACGTTCATGAACGTCATCATTACGTTGATCAACGTCGTCATAACGTTGATCAACGTCGTCATAACGTTGATCAACGTCGTCATAACGTTGATCAACGTCATCATTACGTTGATGAACGTCATTACGTTGATGAACATCATCATTACGTTGATCAACATCATCATAACGTTCATAAACTCATCATTACGTTGATGAACATCATTATTACGTTGCTGAACATCATCATTACGTTGCTGAACATCATCATTACGTTGCTGAAAATCATCATTACGTTGCTGAAAATCATTACGTTGCTGAAAATCATCATTACGTTGCTGAAAATCATCATTACGTTGCTGAACATCATCATTATGTTGATGAACATCATCATGAACATGATTATGTTGCTGAAAATCATCATCATGTTGATGAACATCATCATTGTGTTGATGAACATCATCATTATGTTGATGAACATCATTATGTTGCTGGAAATCATTATGTTGCTGATCATCATTACGTTGATCAACATCATCATAACGTTCATAAACTCATCATTACGTTGATGAACATCATCATTACGTTGCTGAAAGTCATCATTACGTTGCTGAAAATCATCATTACGTTGCTGAACATCATCATTACGTTGATGAACATCATTATGTTGATGAACATCATCATGTTGCTGAAAATCATCATCATGTTGCTGAAAATCATCATCATCTTGATGAACATCATCATCATGTTGATGAACATCATCATCATCATGTTGATGAACATCATCATGTTGATGAACATCATCATTATGTTCATGATCATCATCATCATGTTCATGAACATCATCATGAACATGAACATCATGTTCATGAACATCATCATGAACATGATTATGTTGCTGAACATCATCATCATGTTGATGAACATCATCATAATGTTGATGAACATCATCATTATGTTGATGAACATCATCATTATGTTGCTGGAAATCATTATGTTGCTGAAAATCATCATCATGTTGATGATCATGTTCATCATCATCATAATGTTGATGAACATCATTATTATGTACATGATCATTATTATGTACATGAACATCATTATGTACATGAACATCATTATTATGGGTTCCTTCATACCTGGCTCCTTTAAGTTGACCATCTGGTGGAAGCAGCACTCTCAGTCTGAAGTCTCGCTCCTGTAAGAGTCATGATTGGAAACATCATGAAAGGCACCAACTAGTGCTGGGCGGTTCATCCGGTTTTAATTTCCCGTATGATATACATTTTTAACACACCGTCATACCGGTGCATAGCCGAAACAACTGCTGTAACTCTTCAACAGGCAGCAAAATATATTGTTCGCCACTAGGGGCGCTACGGTGGGAGCTAGTTGTGTATTGAGAGGGACCCTTAATGGTTATAACACAACAATTAATAACCCACAACTAACGCTCTTTAACAGGGCAAAACACCACGGCAAAGCAGTTTGTGACACAAACAATTTGTAACACTAATAATTGTACATTTATTAAATTACACCGCCGAACTGCGTGCTGGGTCCAGCTCGCTAGCTAGCCCGGTAGCACAACAGTCTGTTAACAGCTGGGAGCAGCAAGGCCGAGATCCTCCTTGTGGCACTGGCACCTCAGTGGCTAGTCTGTGGCAAGCGTCACTCGTTCGGCACCCGTCAAGAAGCTGCCGAGCTGAGTGGGTGGAGCCACATTTTCTGAGAACACCTATTGTTGTTATGATTGGTCAGCTGCCATCAATCAGTTTTATCATCATAGTATGGATTTTAGTTGAGTCACCTGAGCCACCTATTTACATCCGTAGAGTAACCACGTTGTACTTTTTTGTGTCTCATTCATTTTATTTAAGTATGATTTTGCTGGTTTTGAAACAAAAGGGAACATAATACAAATTATTACTTTTATAGTTATTTAAAACAATCGGCTAAAATACTGAAAATAAATCATCCGTTTTATTATCATTTAAAAGTATATATATATATATATATATATAAAGACGTTTTAAAATTAAAACCCATAAAATGTCCAATCCAAAAATACATGTCTGAAAATATCTTCACTCTTCTTCTGCTTATATGTAGGTGCCACAAGCTGCCAGTGCCAATAGTAGCCAGAGGAGTGCCGCCACTAGCCAGGGGACTGCCGCCACTAGCCAGGGGACTGCCGCCACTAGCCAGGGGAGTGCCGCCACTCGCCAGGGGAGTGCCGCCACTAGCCAGGGGAGTGCCGCCACTAGTCAGACGAGTGCCGCCACTAGTCAGATGAGTGCCACCAGTAGTCAGAGTTTAGTTTTTATTTGTTCGAGAGGGACAATGTACATTGATGAACACTTTAAATTAAAATGTAAATGCACCCAATTACAGCCGCAAGGCTGATTTCCATTGTCTGTCCCCCTGCCAGAATGTACAGGCTGAGTGTCCTAAAGAAAAGGTTCATGCCAAAATGCAATAGTAATAAACTAAAATCAATTATAGTCTGTAGCTGACAATACACAATAGTTTGACAATAAAAAGTTAACAATGGATAAAAAAGGAATCGCATATACATATAAAAGAAACTAGAAAAAAATATCACAGTGTAAGGAAGACATTTTATATTCATCGTATTGCACCGAGATATATTGCACATAAGGGCATTAATTAATTTGCACATTTAAGGTTTCATTCATTCATATAACATTAGTACATCACATATCCACGACACTAATACTGCTAACCCAGGTTAAACTATCTATGTGCACAAGTTTGGGTGGACAACAGCCATCCCTTCATGTGCTTTTTGAAAGTGCTGAAGTTTGGGCACTCCCTAACGGAGGATGGTAAAGTGTTCCAGAGGGTGCCGCCTTTGACAGAGAGAACCGTCTGACCAAAGGTGGTGCGCCTGTGTGGGATGACACAGTCGCCTCTGTCGGACGCTCTGGTTACTCTAGTCGCAGGGCTGCAGACAGGTCTCTGTTTGATGCACTCGTTCAGCGGAGGAGGTGCCAGACCATTTAGGACTTTGTAAATGATGCTGGCTTCTTTAAGGCTGATAAGGTTGTTAAAACTTAAAAACTTATGTTTGTTCAGGATGTGGCAGTGATGATAGGTTCGCGGTTTCTTGTCAAAGACTTTGAGTGCTCTCTTATACAGAGATTCTATGGGTTTGAGTGTTGCTGTGCACGTGAGTGACCAGCTGGCCACTCGTCAGAGGAGTGCCGCCACTCGTCAGGGGAGTGCCGCCAGTAGTCAGGGGAGAGCCGCCAGTAGTCAGGGGAGAGCCGCCAGTAGTCAGGGGAGAGCCGCCAGTAGTCAGGGGAGAGCCGCCAGTAGTCAGGGGAGTGCCGCCAGTAGTCAGGGGAGTGCCGCCAGTAGTCAGGGGAGAGCCGCCACTAGTCAGGGGAGTGCCGCCACTAGTCAGGGGAGTGCCGCCACTAGTCAGGGGAGTGCCGCCAGTAGTCAGGGGAGTGCCGCCAGTAGTCAGGGGAGTGCCGCCACTAGTCAGGGGAGTGCCGCCAGTAGTCAGGGGAGTGCCGCCACTAGTCAGGGGAGAGATATATTGTTCATAGTTTGAAGTTTAAAAGTTTGAAGCTGTAGTTTGAAGCAAAGTGTTTTGTATTTATTTATATTTATAGTATACTTTAAACAGTTAATATATTGTTCAAATTGAAGAAAAAAGTATCGGTTTAGGCACCGGTATCGTTTTAGCACCGGTATCGGAAAAAACCCAAACGATACCCATCCCTAATTATAACTGCTACTGTGTAAAGGGAATACTGCTGTTAACAAGAACCTGATTTGTTTGAAGTGTTTGGAAATCAAATGTTATTGACCTTTTGTTCATATAGCAGTACTTTTAAAATAAAAGTGCGCAGTGCACTACTTTTGAATTCATTATTGAACTTTGCACATAACAAAAAAATCATGCGATTAATCGCTTATTAAAAATTTGAATCGTTGCCCAGCACTATTTATTTGTTTTTTCTTTTGAAGAGCGAAGCAAAGCAAGACAGGTAGTCTGGAAGTAAAAAAAATGTCAAAATAAAAGTCAAGGCAATAGAATGACTGTATGCAAGAAAACTGTCTATGGTGCAAGCACATTCCAGGGTTAGAAGAAAAATAAATAAATATAAATAAATAAACGTGGGCCGATGAGAGTATGTTAGCAACAATAGTTGACTACATGCGATTTAATATTAATTTATCCATGTACACAGCAAGAATCAACTTTTCGATTGATCTGTGGATTGTTCGATGCAATACAGTTCGTAATATAGTTTAATCAAAATCCTGTCGTAACAACAATGGGTGTTCTCAGGAAATGTCTCCGCCCACTCTGCTCGGCAGCTTCTTGACGGGTGCCGAATGAGTGCTGCTCGCTTGCAACTGTTGTGACACCTGACTGACGCCTGCCACTGCCTAGCCACTGATGTGCCAGTGCCACAAGGAGGATCTCGCCGTCTCTCGCTGTAACGTTACTGTAACAGTAACGTTACATTAACGTTACTGTTACAGTAACGTTACAGTAGCGTTGCTGTTACTACAGATTTGTGCTATAAATGTAATTTCTGTATGATTCCAATCATTTTCATAATCAAAATCGCTGAATCTGTGCATGCCCTGTTCAAACAGAGAGGACATGGGAGCTGTGCAATCCCTCACTAACTGGGTTGAGCGCATGCCTTCTGCTTCCTCATTGTTTGTCACCACTGTAATATTTGTAGACACTGTTATTATATGTCCTTTCTTTCCAAAGAATAGGTCATGTATTTCACGTATGTGTAGAACCTATTTAGTGTGATCTGACAATAAACCGCAGCGAAGAAGCACAGCGGGGAGGCAAACAGTACCTCTGCCTCAATGAAGGGGGCGTGTGGGAGGCCACGGCTCGGGTTTATGCTTGTTCTGCAGTTGCTCTTCTTCTTACATTTTGCTCTGCTAAAGACACGCGCCGAGTCTATTTTTGACGGACCTGCGCTGAAGTCACGTCAAGCTGCACAGAGCAGATCGACCCAGACAGGAAGTCAGATATCGAAAAGGAATAGAGCATCCGGTCATTTTTCAAAATAAAACACTACGTGCAGCCGGATCGCGGCGCACACGCTCCTGGTGGAATCAAATACGTACCTTACCTATGTGTGTGTAAATAATACTGGTATGAAGTATGAAATATGAAAAACAACCAGCAGTCAATGTGCAAGCTGCCGATTGGATGGTGATTTAAGCTACTCTATTGGGTTCATATTGTAAGTCTGACTCTCGACACGCACGTCACTGCTACCGACCGTGTAGAGTCGTCCACAGCGAGCAGCCCTTAACTGGACGTTTGTTTGAACGTAGTTTGGAGAATGTTAGGACAGGAAGAACACATGAACGTACCAGCACCGTGATGAATCCGTCATAGAGCGTCTTCTGCTTGTTGAGCGGAAACAGCAGCGGGTTGTCTTTTACCAAGGCACTCTCCATCGCTCCACTTATACATACATATATATCATATATACTAATTATACCGTTAAGTTTAGCAGGACAAGCCGAGGCGGAGAAACACGTCCCGCCATGAAACCCAAAACAGGTGACGTCACGGTGCTGCCTTCAGTGACTTATAAAAATGTCGGAATTCAGACGCAAACACTTGTTGATGAGACCATCGGCCCATTTAACCATTATTTATAAGCACTTTAATGCAGTATCTTATTGACGAAGTAAGAAGAGTACTGTATACTGACATGGAGCATTACAGTTGCATTATGACCTATGACTTGTTTCTATTTTTTGCACTGTGTTGATTGTTGTTGATTGTTTAATGTTATGCACCACCCACCATGTCAAATTCCTTGTATGTGCAACATCTCTTGGCAAATAAACGGTTCTGATTCTTGGCCTAGACAGAATCACAAAGTTATAGCTATTTTATAATTTAATAATTTTTCATAAATAATCTTTTCCCATTATCTTATGTTCTCATTGCACAGCTACTGTCTTCCTCAGTTGCTCTGCTTCCAGTGCAGCTTGTTTTAAGTAGAGCTTTTATCCAATCAGATCTCACCTCTGTGTCTCTAGGTAAGAACAGAGGCAGAGGCCTGCAGACTCACAAGTGAATCCATGTGCAGTTTAAGTGAATGGGGACGATATTGTTGATTATCATATTCTTCAACCAATCGGATCTTTAGTTTGACATGTTGGGCGTATTCTTTAACGTGTCAGAGCCTGCTAGCTGGCCTACAAGTACGTGATTGGTCAGTGGGCTAGCGTGACATGTTGGGCGGTGACAATCCCAATATCTGCTGCCTCTGTCTAGCGGACATTTTCAGCCTCAAACGCATTAAAACCTATTCAAGAAATACAACAGGGGAGGCTCCACTGTCTTCACTGGCGTCCATGAATGGAGAAGGACTTCTTACTGGAACTAAAACACACGGATGTACTGAACAACCGTGAGATTAAACTCTTTAACAAAGAAAGGAGGACCAGCAGCTAAATAGTGAACAGCAGCTCTAGTAAGTTAAATGCGTTTGTTTGTACATCTGCAGTAGCTTTAATATGCTTGTTTATATATTATTATTTGTACAACTTGTTTTTATGAAGATGGATTTTTGTTTGGTTTTATATGTGATAGGAACCATTGTTACATCCAATGTTGCTCTGGGGACATTGCTCTGCTATTTAGTCGGTGCCAGTGTTGCCAACTTGGCGACTCTCTCGCTAAATCTGGCGACTTTCCAAACCCTCATGGCGACTTGTTTTGTCAAAAGCTACTAGTGACAAATCTAGCGACTTGTTCTGGTGTTGCTCATGTATCTGCACTCTGTAGTTAGTGTATTTGTAGGTGTTGGCTTCATTTTTACACGAAACAAATAATACCGTAGCTGTGTTTCAGCTGCAGGACAGCAGTGAAGGCCCAGGTACAACATGCACGGCCCGCCACTGGTATATGATGATTATGACACAGAAAGCTTTGTCAAAAATACCTTTTTAGAGCAGTTGACAGTCGGTGAAGAAAATAAAGATGTGTTTACTCGTCCACCTTTTACTGAGCTTACTTTCTTTGTTCTACTGGTCTGTCACTGACCAGGCTCAGGTTTTTACTGCGTGGGTTGGTACCCAGGATGTTGATGATAGGAGATGCTGTGACTGACTGGAAGATGAATAACCACAGCACAGTCAAATTATTCTGCTGGAATATGTCATAAATGTGATATAAGATGAAAGCAGAGCGAGCTAACGTGTCCTAAAGCTATGAAATTCTGATTTCTCATAACATAGGATATAGATTTATGCAAATTGTAAATGCTCACATAAAAGGTGTTTAAGGTGTCATCTTCAGTTTATAAATGTCTCTCATTAGATTTCTTCCTCACTTCTGTCTCACTTTCACTTTTCTTTTTGGAATAATGTAATAAAGTTGACAACACACTTCCTTAGTATGTAGCAGACATGGAGAATGAAATGAGTTTTTTCAGTTTCAATAAATAACATCAAAGATCAATATTTTTGTTGAACAGATAACTAGGAGCAGCTCTACTCTACTTTTCAAAGAACGAAATCCAGGACTTTCTGGCCCACTGATGGGGGGTAACAGGAGACAGGTTAAGGGCGTACCGTCTCTCTTTCACTGGTGTGGGCCGGCCTCATCACATGACCTGGCCATGACTCAGAGGAATCTTTTATTTTGATTTAATATACGTGTCTTTATATGCCATCAAATGAACTGCTTCAGGAGATTGGGGGGCAATGGACTGTGTTGGTGGATGGATACAGTCTGATGAAGTATGTTGATTATGAATATATTAAAACTTCAAAAATATGTTACCAAAAGATCACGATTCTTTCCCATCACCATGCCGACTGTTAGCTGTCAGTTGGGTAGCTACTGCCGTGCCCGTTGTCTGTGTTTTGATTGGGCGACAGCTATGCTAATCTCATTATGGTAACGGACGGGATGTAGCTTAAAGTAGAGGAAAATAAATATGATTGTATAACTAATATTATTTTAAAAAATTGTTGGCACAACTGGATTATTAAAACCTCTTTAGCTCGGGCCCTATTTGTAGGCCTCTGCTCGAAAATAGTATACCATACTAAAGTGACCATAGTTCTGTAACTACAAGGTCTATTTTAATAAATTGTGTTACTATAATCAGATCACAACACTTGTGAGATTGTTCAGATGGGTAATATTGTGTATATGTTGCTGGTTAATATAGTAATGAAGACATTACACAGCTCAAATTGAAAATAATCAGGTTCGCCTGAAAAGAAAGCACTTTTATTGATATAAGGTTGTTGAAATAATGCAGATATCTCCCTAAAAACTCTCCCAAATCATAGCACAACTGATCAGTAGTTGCTGAATAAAGGTTAAAGTGGGATAAAGTGAAGAATAAGAGGCTTTAGTAGAGAGCGGTCAAGCGAGGTCATCATTTTCGAACCAGCTGTTGCAGCTCTTACATTGAACTTTTATATACTATATAACTATATATTTCACTTTTTTTATCACTCATATTATTCAATACATCCAAATACAGCTGTTAGGAATCATTTTGAGATTCCTAACATCGTCAGAGCCTGTTTCTGGCTGTCATTTATAGGATTTTCTCAGTTCATGTGTGTGTATGGGGCTGTATCTCAGCCTATCATCGGTCGATTTCAGTCAATAAGCCCTCCTTCGACGCGTCATAGTCTCAGGAAGGCCTGTGTCGAATTTGGTGTTGATTGACATAAGTTTCAACCAGCAAAGTTGCAAGAAGTGCCGCGTCTCCCCGGGCGCTCACCGGAAGTTTGACCGCTCGCCCATGCTGGATTGACTGCTCTTATTCTGGAAACAGCTCAGAAGTAAACAGGATGCAGTTAGCAACAATGATTCCAGCTTTGAAATGGATAATCTGCGACGTTATTGTACTAATTTTTCATAAAACTTGGCCACATACCTACGATGTTTTTCGGCGGAGGGCAGTATGAAGGTACGTTTGACCACTCACAGCTGTCCAGTGCTCCCACGGAGCGGAAAACCGAAGTTATTTATGCGTTTGGCCACGTGTGCTAATGCTATAAAATGCATTGCATGGCTTGGTAGCCGCTAGCATCAGGGTGCAAATATTGATTTGCGGTACTCATAACGGCGATTTCTGGCCAGGATTTCATGCTTTTATGCCATGTTTTCTAGATGCTTATATGAGTAGTCTATAGTTGTGTTTGGAGTGTGTAAGAAGTGACTTATATGATAGTGTTGCCCATATGTTGCTGTTTCATCCGGAAAAAAAACTGGACCAATCCACAATATTACCGAAGATTAAGGCTATTTTCCATACATGATTTTCAGGGGTGCTGAGCCAGAGTGCCCCCAAATTTGGGGGCGTCGTGTGCAAGAGGTCAAAGCTGATGTTGCTCCAGGACTGTTTGCTCACCGTTGACATGAACATTTTAGCTCAGTTGTGTGGTGGTTACCAGGCGGCAACCTTCGGTTCTGCAGAGCCAAAGTGTCTTAAAGCTGCATTCTCTCTAGTGTCCACCAGGGGGCGACTCCTCTGGTTGTATAGAAGTCTATGAGAAAATGACTCTACTTCTCTCTTGATTTATTACCTCAGTAAACATTGTAAACATGAGTTTATGGTCTCAATCTCTAGTTTCAAGTCTTCTTCAATACAGCATGATGTTCATTTAGTACATTATGGTCCATTTAGAGTCAAACAGACCATAAAGCAGGGGATGCTTTAGGGCGGGGCTACACAGTGATTGACAGGTCTCTACCAGAGACATATACGGCGTCTCTACGTCACTCCTCCTCAGTCCAGATATGGTCACTTCCTGTTCACTGGTTGATGGCGACAGACATAATCCAAGATAGCGATGGCTACTTCTTATATTCAGTCTATGGTCGTTACACATCCAGCAGGCAGAGAACAACACTATGCCTTTGGGGAGATAATGCATTCGGTTGTGTCTGCGTGTGCGCGCATCTTTTTGTCCGTCCACGCTAATCTCATAAACTACTGGACCCATCAGCCTAATACTTCTTTTTTCTCATTCATGATGCTCAAGGAACTCTCGTGGTTGCGGTCTGCAGTTTGATTCCACACCCGATATGTTACGATCTACTAAAGTTAGGGCACAATACGAGATGAACTGTCAACCCCTTTTTGTCATCTTCGCCGCCATCTTGACTCTAATGATGCCGGGAGAGACAATTGATTGAGATTCAACTCTTTTTTGTTTCGGAGGAGAGAGGGACACCTGTCTGAGATCTGCAACAAAACTCTTGATTATAGTGCAGCTTTAAGATAATGGTATGAACGATATTAAATGGACATTCTTTGGTGCTTTGATCTTGAGACAGTTTTGACAATTTGTTGCTTGATCTTCAACTGCCGGGATGTCTCAGACTGCACAACCACAGCCCTGATATTTAGGATGGCTGTGGGCCATGGAGAACCTCCGCATAATGAATGAAAGCAATCAAACGGACACCTGATTCTTGGCTCATGCTCAATGTCTGTCGCCAAGTTGCATCCATCAAGCCTCTCTTAACCGTGCGGGCATAAAATTGCCTCAACATATGGCAAACGG